AAAACAGTCTTTGTTGCCACTGTTGGCAGTAAGTCAATCGCATGTATTAAGCTACCCCACAATGCTCGGCAGTCATCGATAGCCCTAAATGAGTGCATGTGGTGTCTTGGCTTTGGGCGTCTTTTTGATCAGGTTGAGATTTTAATGGATTTTTCTTCGCCTCTGACAGACAAAGCTGGGTGGGGGGTGTGTTGCGGCCCAGCCCAGCACAGACTGCAGGCAGCCGGTGGGGTCACTTGAACCTTGTGGTTGCAGAGCAGAGTGCTGAGACACAAAGAGCCAACGCTGCGTTCACAAGTGTCCGACAGCGGGAGAGTCAGGAAGTCTGGCGACTGTAAACCCCACCCGAACCCCCCACACACTCCCCCCACCTCCCCACCTCCATCTTAGACACACTCAAGACACACCAAGTGGGCACTTCTGCACACAAACCTGTGCTACTACACTTGTGAGGACATTTGTATTGATTTACATTCATCTCCTGAGGACTAATTTTAAGCAGAACTGCTCATCGTCCGACCGTGACCTTTAACCTTTAACCTGCAGTCGCCACAGTTATAACATTAATGGCACAATTAGTGATCCAGATGTAAACAAAGGTGTCACTCCACTCCCAAAATAATTAATAGAAAATTAATAGAAAATAAACAAACACACAACACAGAATTAACACAAGAAAATATATATATATTTTTTTATTAATTATTAGTTACTTTACAAATTTTTGTAAACACTGGAGTAAAATTAGCCCTTTATTTTAAATTATTTACAAAATGATGATTTCCAATTAGTGTCTTAAACAATTAAATTAATTAGAAGGTATACTTTAAATTTATATTTATATTAAAATCACAGACTGGCCCTTTAACCCTAATTAACAGTGTTAACACAATTTTTTTGTGCTAGTTTAACATTTTTAGTGGTGTGTTTGAAAATAGAAAAGTTTCTACACACACACACACACACACACACACTTTTTAATACTTTAATAATCCTCTGTGTCTGCAGGCTCAGTTTTTTTTAAGTCTGAACATTTAAGTTTGTGCACTCATAATGAATAAACTTGCTAAATATTTAAACTTTATGAATTAAGTCTGCAGGCAAGCTTGCAACAGAGTTTACAAACTTAATTTTGCAAAACTCTGATTTAAAACACAAACAGGTCACTTTAAATTTTTGTCCAGGATGTGATAGTGCAGACATGATTTTGTCTCTACAACTGGATGAATATATACCACATACTGTATATTAACAGAGCTGATAGTCGTGAACTAGATATTTTACAACAAGTTTACTTAATATCACTTCTCTAAATGCACTGTAATGTAATATACTGTTGCCGTTACTTATTGGCATTCATATCCTCAATTACTGACTTCATTCACACTGATTACAGTTTAATTAATGCTATTTAAATGGGATTAATGTGAACGGTGGTAAAGAAGGGAGGTAATCGTTGTCTGAGTTGGATTATTGACACTATCAAAGGGCCCCTGCCAGTCTGTTGGACAATACGCTGCTAAAATCCAATTCAGCTGTGTGGCATTAAAGGCTTAGGGGGATCTGCAGTAGTTTACAGTTGGTACCATGCTTCTAAATATGAAAAAAAAAAGAATGTATAGTGCATCCTGCTACTAATTATACTGATAGATATTTTAGCCCTGCAATGACAAAATCCCTCTCAGTTAAATGAATGGGAAGACTTAATAGTAATTTATTGTGCTTCAATTTATTCAAATACTAGAGTGCAAAAAAACTTTAATAATGGCCTGTTAATACGTTTATCCTTTTTTTAGATTCTTAAAGAATGACAACTGTTCCTCCATTTAAAAAAAAAATATTTCAGAATTTTAGACCAATCAGACGAGCTCAGTAGCATATTAATGTGTGAAGGATCAGCAGTGTTGCAGAGTTATTCCTTTCTTTCCTCTCTTCATTTTGTTGCATTGTTGACACAACATGTTCGACAACAGCTCGTTTCCTCTGTGGGAATAATGAGATACAGTACAACGCGGCGCTCATTGCAAAGGTGGACAGGAATCTAGTAGAGACAACAACAGATTTGCAGGCAGACTAAGTGGTTGAGTGAACAGGTTAACAGCGACGGGGCCCTGAATGGCTGTGACAGGGAGAAAGCAGTGAGAGGCTCCAGCACTGAAGGGGGAAGTGACCCGGAAACGGTGTGTAAGTGCAGCTTGCTGGGCCCTTTAGGAAAAATCTCTCCAGCAGCACTGATGCAAGTCCACCTAAACACACATTTCTCTTATTTCCCTCGCTCTGTGTCTCTGCAGAGATGCATTACTCAGCTACACTCGTGCACGCTCTAACTGCAAAGACAAACACATAGTGGGGGAACCTCTGACTGTGTTCGTCACCTTCAGACCTGCAACAAAAACTTGTGATGATTCTTTGACGTGAGCAGATTTTCTTTGAAATTAAAAACACAGGAGCTTCCTGTCAGTCAAGGGCAGAAGTTGTCAGTCCTAACGGTGTGAATGCATGTGACATATGGGGCACAAGGTCACGATGTAACTTTTTTCTTGGTCTCTCTCAGGGTGCTTTTTGCACATTGCTTGTGCGGTGAGAAAATGTACATCCTGCTACACAAAGCTGATGATGTATAAACTGATAGACATGCAATCTGGTCTGTCATTGGTTGTTTCTGTTTTTTAATCCTACAAAGAAGCTGTTTCCAGCCTTATTTGTTACTTCTTTGTAACATATATCAAAGACTCACCAAGAGGTTCAGTGCCCAGTAAACCCAAAGACTGTGACTGTTGTAATATAAGACTTTTTGTCAACTTGCATTAAATTTAAAATTTACAATCAGCTGACCAAACTTTGTCCCTATAGTCCAACCTTTATTTTATGTAACAATAAATTATCCAAACTTTTTTATTAAGAGGCAGAAAAGTTCAAATGATAAACCTCTATGTTTTATATCAATTTGTTTACTGTTAAAAGCAGTCAGGATGCAAGAGGAACTTTTTGACGGCCACATATAAATGCAGTTTTTCTGTCGTGTCTTTTCCTGCAGGGTTTTGGGTTTTCTTTAAAGAATTACTAACATTATACTGTAGTTCTGCTGCATTAAACAAACAAAGAAACAAACAAAAAAAACCTACAAGAAAAAAGTAGATAATACCAAGGGAACAAACTTTAATACATATATTTTTAAAGTTTTTTTTTAAGGTTAAATTTTATTTTGGAGGAGCAGTAATGTGAAGTTCTACATTGGTGGAATGTATGAATCGCTACAAACATTAACCTGATTTTTACTACATTCTGTTAATTAATACACTCATTGTTTTGGAAATGTTAAATTATTTCCCCCCACTTACATAAATAAAAAAAAAAACTCCCTATTTGAACTGTACTTTGCCAGAAACATCCCCGCAGTCCTTATAGATGTGGGCTTCACATTAAGCTGTTTCTAACTGTTTTGAACATAAATGTCTTTTAGTCATAAAAATTGAATATGGACATAAAATCTTTTCGCCTTTATGTATAAAGTGGTACCACATGATTTTTCACCTTTTCGCTGCTGCCATTTGTTTAACGATCCAAACTGAATTCACTGCATGGGATTATATGTATTGTTCAATAATTATATTTAAAAGTAATATTTTAGTTGATTAAAGACAAGATTTTGCCCTATTGTTTACATTTTTAGTAACGTTAACAACTGTCTTTCTAATAATTAGTTATGAAATTGAAGTCAGAATAAAAATTCTTTCTTGAACCCTGTTTAATGTTACTTATCAAGCAATGGTTTAAACAGAGTGTGTTAAAATCAGGCCTGAGAGGAGTTCACATATTTAAATGTCTCAGTACAGAGACGAATGATGGACAAACTGTGTCTGCAGGTATTTCAAGTTTAAAAACACAGTTCAGAGTTTTCAGTGCAAACTTATAGTCAGACAGGCAGCAAAGTTTGCAGACAGGCTGAGGCTCAGTGATGAACTGTACCTTAGTATATTTGCTCAAGTACTTGTACTGAAATACAATTTTGAAGTTCTTATACTTATGTATTTCCATTTGTGCTACTTTTATACTTCAACTCCACTTCACAAGGAGGCAAATAAAGTTCTTTTCACTTAATTTATCTGACAGATTAGTTGCTTTGCAAATTAATAGAATTAATACAAATTAACTAATCAACTATGATCATAAGCAGTAACATGCTAAAAATAAGCTTCAACATAAGCTGCAACATTAAAGTGATGAACACAGCAAAGCATCAATGTTTATAATCCAATACTATTCTGATATAGGCCTTTCTGCATGATGAGTAATTTTACTTTTGGAACTTGTTTATTTATTGTTTGTTTATTTTGATGCTAAAACTTTTGTACTTTCACTGAGTTAACACTTTGAATGCACGACTTTTACTTGTGACTGAGTATTTTTACACTGCAGCTCTGCTACTTTTACTTAAATAAAATATCTGAGTACACGTTGATGAATGAAAAGATGAACACGCAGGAAAGTGAACTGTTGCTGTAAATTATTTTACGTGTTTAAAAAGAATTTTCGGGATTATTTCACACCGCTGTTCTATTTTTCGTTACTAAACAAATAAAGTTACTGGGGTCATTTTCCTGCTCCACCTCGGTCCACTTTACTGCAAGTAAAAAAAAAAAGTTGTCAACATTAATTTGTTAAAAAAAAAAAGCATTCATTTAAAAAAAAACCTATGATGACAGAATTTTATACTTTCTAAAATTACGCAAACTTTCTTTAATTTATTACGTGGGACCAAATGGAAAGAAAAAATATATAAAGAAACACAATCAATAATCAAAAGTGGAAGCTGATTTGTCAGAACATCTTTTTCCTCGAATATAATCCAGTTGGAGTCAACACACTCTGGTCAAACTGCAAATATTACACTTTTTATTGCAAAATTCATCATGATATACCAACTGTATTCACAGCTCAACAGTCTGTCATATGAAAGGTCACGTGAAAACAAACTGAGTGTTTAATTAATTAAAAGTATTGAAAAGTTCATCGCAGGAGTTGGAAGAAAAGGACAAAACTATTATTGCGGGTTGATAAAGTTGATGCAGCATTAACGTACATTCATTCAGATGACATTACTGCGCGGAATAAAACTTGAATGCATGCACATTTTCTGACGATAAATTTTGAATTCAATCTGCCATAAGCATTGAAAAAATTTAATAATAATAATAATAATAATGATAATAAATTTGGAGAAGGACAAAAAGTGGCACATGCATGTCTTGGATTATCTGATATGTTAACATCAAAGTTGGGAACATTTTTATTATTTAAAAAAAAAAGAAAAAAAGTGACAGGCCTAAAGCCAAACCAGGAGAGACTGCATGTCCGTCTGTCCACACTGATCCCACACAGAGAAACTCAGTCTGCATCAAACAGGCCAAAGTATTTGCCAGTGTTGGAGAAGTAGATGTAAGGCGCAGCGGTCGCAGTCGGGTACACGACAGGGAAAGGCATGGGTAACAAACATCCGCCCAGCAGGCTGCTGTCTTTGTAAAAAGTCGGTAATTGCACATTTTTCCCCGCCTCGGAGAGGTGCTCCGCGGCCAGCGGGCCCTCCATGTCCGTGGATAGCTGTCTCTTCAGCTTGTTGCGGCGGTTCTGGAACCAGATCTTGACCTGGGTCTCGGTGAGCTGCAGGGAGCTGGCGAGGCACGCTCTCTCCGAGCTGCTCAGATAGCGCTTCATGTCAAAAGTGGCCTCCAGCTGGAATATCTGTCTCTTGGAGAAGATGGTGCGCGTTTTCTTCTTCACCATGGCTTTAGAGTCCGCGGTGGTCTGCTGCTGCTGCTGCTGCTGCTGCTGCCGCCGCCGCTGCTGCTCGGATGGGTCCTCGGCGGTGTGCGCACCGTGCGCCCCGGGACAGGAGCCAGCGGTCAGCGGCGGTGTGTCGTCCCCGTGGTCCGCACGGTGGACTCTGGGCTTCGTTTGCGCTGTGGATGAAGCGACAAAACGTGCTTTGATGGAGCGGTAACAGCAAACTTACATTAGGTTTTTGTCTGCGTGCAAACACACACGAGGAAGCTGCACAATCATAATTATGTGAAAATAAACAACGACATTTGGCCCGCGATATTCAGCCCAAACAAATCTGAAATAATGTTATTAAATACCACCTCTATCTTTACGCACCAGTTTCCTCTTAACAGCTTTATCGCCATCACTTTCTTAGTCTCTTTACTGGTTTATCTGTATGTGTATTAAATTCCCAGTTACCTGTCTGGTCTGACCCGCTGCCATGCCTCCTCCGGACGTCCCACACCTCCTCACACCGCGCTTGTAAACCATCCTTACATCCACTATCCCCCTTCTGTCCCTTTGACGCGTCCAAGTCCCCGCCGTCCCGCTGCTTCAGGTTGAGGATGTTGTCGATGGTGAACGTCAAAGAAGCGCTCCGACCCGGGGCGTCCTCTTTGCTCATGTTCCCCGGCATCTCATCCGCTCCTCCGACAGTCCCGAAACACCGACGACGACGCTCCGAGCACCATTGCGCCTCGGCTTCGACTAGCGCGCGCGTGAGGAGCGAGGTGCGACGTTCTTCAGCGACCCGGAAGACTGCGGTTTAGCAGCTTTTGATTGGTGAGGTTGTGGGGCAGATGATGAGGGCGGGATGCAGATTTGCGTCTGGCTGCCATATTGAAGCTTCAAATAGTTTTTTTTAATGCCATGAAACTCGTGCCTGCTGGCTTCAGGCACCAACTCAGGATCTGTGCAGAGTTTTTGACAGAGTGGGGTTTCTTGATATCCATACTAGATCAATTTGCCACATCACATAACAGCTTGAAAGCTCTCTGGGCTCATGATCATCCTGTGAACTTTATCAACTCTTCAGTCATAACTAAACTACCGTAATTTAGCCTACTGGATGAATGTCAAGGGCAAGAAAACAGTAAGAAGCAATTTGTGCATCCATTTTATTCACATGTGAACATATCAGTGTACAAAAGTCTGTATTAAAATCCTCTTAAATAAAAAAAATGTGTCAAAGAATATTGCTACTAATGTACCCATGCTCACAGCTATCAGAAGTCACAACCACCAAACAGCTTTTTTTTATAAATGATCAAGTCTCTACATGTCTGAGGACACAGTGCATAATATTCCCAAGGTATAGGTATGGGCTCAGGTAAGGGTCAAAATAGATTTAGAGCTTGTGGAGTCATGTTGGGAGAGAATTTCAAGTTGGTGGGTGCATAGAAAAGATTAGCAACGAACATCGGAGTACAGATTAACCACAGAAAGTACAAGTAAATTTAAGAAAGTGGATAGAAAATGGAAATTTTGGCCCTGATTTTGTAATTTTCTGTAAAAAATAAGAGCCAAAATGAATTCTTGTAACCTAAATGTGGGTTTGTAACTTCAGTGTCAATGGAAACCTTGAGCTTCCTACTTTTGAATCCGATGTTCACAAACAATCTTTCTCGTTTTCATAGGTGTACACAGGCAGATATATGCCATATATATAGCTCAAAATCTGACTGACCCTTACTTGACCCCACGTACATACAAAGACGAACAGTTTCTGTGAAAAATAATCACAAAATAGAGCTATACTTGAAACCTGTGTGACCTGGTGGGAGATGTCCTCCATGTAGGCCTGAGGACACGATTGTTGGCAGCTTAAATAGCCAAAATCATCCATCCTAGCCACTACATGTAGCACTGAATCTCAGAATCACTTTGTTTAAAATCAACTGGAAAACATCACTGCTAATGGGGAGGAATAGTCTTGTTTTCAAGCAGTCATTAAAGGATCATAATGTTGCTTCTAGGAAACTTAAACACAGGGTAATTTCACTTTATTATCTGATTTTACAGGATCAAAACTGAACTAAATGATATTTTTGCAGCATCTGTATTTGATTAATTGGTGTCAGAGTCACAAGTTTGCATAGTGTCTTTACATCACTTCCACTCTTAAAGTCACACCAGTCCAGTCATCTGACGCGTCATGAACGGCACCTGATGGGTAAAATGGGAAGTCAGCGGGTAGCTGATAGAATTAGAGAAGCCGACCATTGGCGCACCGCTGTTCTCGCGATACAACACGGGAACTCTGACGACCCTCTGCACGGCGCCGTAGGGGACAGCAGGGCTTCCAGCCTCCATGTCTGCAGCGATCTGCCTCTTCCACTTGTTCCTGCGGTTCTGAAACCAGATCTTCACCTGGGTCTCGGTAAGCTGCAGCGAGGCCGCCAGCCCGGCTCGCTCCGAGCTGCTCAGGTAGCGCTTCAGGTCGAAAGTGGACTCGAGCTGGAACACTTGACTCCGGCTGAACACGGTGCGGGTCTTCTTCTTTCGTCCCACTTTTATGTCACCTGAGAAGAGGGAGTAGAGAGACTTTGCTAAGTGGAACTGAATTCAACTCTAAACCCCCTCACTCTGAACAAAAACCCAACATCTGGCTTTTGTATTTAATGGAAAGGGTCAAGACATTCTGACTCTGACCTCGTCACACATCAACGTTTGGTCATGGACTTTCAACGTCCAGATACGACAGTGAAAGGTAGCCTGGGTGTGTTGGTTTTGGATGTTCTGGGACGCTGTGTCAAGTTCTGCCTGTTACATGTTTTGTCTTCTTTCAAAGTACACCTCTGCTCTCAGGAAATTTACTGTTCACATACTCTCTCTTAAATGAATAGCACTACATCGCAAATTGACGTTTTTTTTTGCCTTCAGTACCAAACGCATGTGGTTGGGTTTAGGAAAAAAGAACAGAGTCTGCTTTATAGTCTTATGGGGGCATCGACACTGCTCTCCTGGGTGAAGGTTGGTGTCTGTTCGACCCATCCACCACCACTTCCTCTTGCCCCACTCGGACTTTCGTTGCCGTAACTTTCGTCTGTGTCCCCCTACGTTTCCCCGTGACGCCACCAAGCACCATTGAACTATAATGGCAACTGGCCACGCATCATTCTGACATGATAGGACGGCTTTTTCGTCAGTGTCTGATGCCGCAAGTCACTGCCCAAGCGCCGAATTTCGATGACTTTAGAGGGAGACCAGGTATAAAAGGTTACAGTTGGCATTCATCCCCGGGCTAAATCACTCGGCGAGTAGTTTTTGGCTCCAGCTCTGATCAGCTTCGATCAGCAGTGATGGGAATATGACACCCAGGTGGACGCACTAATTTTTGCCCTGCCACAAAATAGACATCTGTCTCCATCTGAGCAGAACTCGAATATTGTTCAAAATTAGTCACACTGAATTGGAACATTTTCACTGGCATCCATGCACCTTCTTCTGTTAACTAACCTGCTTTCTGGCCTGTCAGTGACGTTGAGCATAACTCACCATGAAAAAAAAGAAGAAAAGACATAGAGGCACACTAGTCTATTGGCAATGGCTCCCATGGCTGATGGGGAACTCGTCAGGAAATTAACATTAAAAGACAGAGGATTTTACTTATCAGTTTTCTTCCCATTTAAAATAAAGAGGTGCCTTGTCAAGCGTGTCTCTCATTGGACCCAGGAACTCTTGGCTACGCCCCTGCAACTTAACATAAACCAATGTGGACCTTTGTTGCTGATACCCTCTGCTAGGAAAAAGTCAAACGACACCAACCTAACAAGTCCTGGAAACATCAACACCCAAATCTCACGTTTTGGATGAGACGATCAACTACTATGTCCGAGGAAGCGTGTCAGAAGGAGAGCGCATGCGTGGTGACGAATCCGCTCTTGCAGACCGCACAAGGTGGACTATGTGTTTTTAAGTGTAGGATGCACTCTGTGTACTTTGGCCTCACCTGTATCACAGCTGTCTTCTCGAGAGAAGCAGGAGGAGCGCGCGTCCTCCTCCTCCCTGTCATCCGTCAGACTCTCGTCCCCTTTCTCCTCCGGCTCATCGGTCTCCTCCCGCCCCGTTAAAGCTGGGGAATCCCGGTCGCTCGTTGGCACAGAGTGTCCACTGTTGTACGGCGGACCTACGAGCAACGTGGTAAAATAATAAATCTTAGTCACTGTTCCGGCTTCATTTCACTCGTGTCCAACAGTGGGACATTATCTGACATCTTAAAATGTGCCAGTCATGCTGCCTGTCCTCTTCCAGGGTTATAAATAAGCATCAGATCCCCACTGTTGGTCTATTTGGAGCATCAGAGTGAGAGTTGTTGTGTGGGTGCCAAACGCTGTTGGCTCGGGCTGAGCTGATAACTGGGGAGTTGGGGTGTGTGTGCACGGTGGTAGAGACAGTAAAACGTGCAACAGCCCATGACATGTCCCCTTGTGGCCTAAGACCCAGAGTAAGGTGTTTGTGGAAATGATAAAAGCTTGGCACTGGTGTAGTCTAATTCTGGCCCAGGAGTTATTTTTAGACTTTACGCACGGATAGGGGACGTTTTATTTAATGTGTTACTTGCTTGTATTGGATATAATTGTTGTCACAATCCTGACAGGTTGTTTTGATCATGATACAACCATGTGACGCAGGTTATCCCAAATTATCAGATAGAGTTGGAGCAATCATTTCTGCTTTTCAGGACATTTTTATACCAGATGAGGACAAACAAATATGCACACTTACTTCTTGAGGTCCCGTGCGCTGTGTTTGGCGACGTCCCGCTCCAGTTCAGCACTTCACTCTCATCCACACGTTTTGTCTCCAGCCCGGGACAGACCACCGGGCTGTGGACGGTAACTTTGAAGCTCCGTGTGTCCACCCGCTCCTCAGATGAAGCCCCTCTGTGTGTAGTCCCCAGCAGATTCTCTATGTAAAAAGACGAACCTCTCGCCGGAGGACCCAGCTTCGATCTCGGCGCTGTGTCGTCAAGCATGTCTACGTTTTTTCTGTCCTTCCTCCGGCAGCTTCTCACTCTTAATATAAAAATAAAAATCCTAGATTTGGATTTTATAAATTCATCCCCGGGACTGTGTCTCGTTCCCGGTCAGGACTGTCTCCCGCTCCGCGTAAACCATCCCACCGCAATCCATGAGAGCAACGAGAGCCCAGTCCTCCGCTGTGCTGTGAGAGATCCAGACAGAAATCCCGTCTAGTAGAGAGACGAGGAATTACTCCAGAAAAAAAAAAACACGAGACAGTCTCGTTCTTCGGAGCCTCTCGTGCAGGCAGTGTGATAGTCTGCCTTGAGGGAGCGCAGAGATGCTGTATTTAGGTCAATTAGGGAGCAAAGCAAAGCAGAGATACAGTGTTGTCCTCAGGGCTGGAGATGGAGAAAGCTTCATGAAGAATGGCACAGTACCGCCTATTGGTTACATCTGTCCATGCACACTGTACACTGACTGTGCACACTGGAAGTCTCTTAAACTCCCAATAATTAATACTATTTTTAGCGCAATCGAAAGCGCACAAAAAAAGTAAACAAGTAAAAAAGTCACTCGCGTAATTAATCATTAATATAAACCTAATTATTATCATAATAAAAGTGTTTTTTTAGGGTCACGTGAGCTAGTTCAACTATACATTATGGAGAAGACAATTTTTTTTGGTCGATTTAAACTAACAAAAACGAGGTGAGAATGAAAAAGACACTCACACACAGATAGTGTAAAAGAGCTGGAGACTATCAGAAAATATTTTTAGAAATAAGTATTAAAGCAAGAAAGTGAAACAACAATCTGGTCTGTACTACAAATTATTTAATTATTGTTTTATTGTATATATTTTTATTTATTTAATTATTATTATTTTTAATCAGAATCAGAATCAGAAATACTTTATTGATCCCCGAGGGGAAATTATTTATGTTACAGGTGCTCCTTGCAAGAGAGGAAAGATACATGAAAATATAAGAAATTTAAACAATAGTATTAACAAATATATAGTCATATATATATATATATATATATATATAACATAAGAAATTGCAGAAAACGCATCAACTTATTTATGATGTTTGGACTTGAAAGAGTAAAAAAAGAGCAGACGTGCATGATAAATCCTCACAGGGCCGCCCGTCGCATTTTAACCCTTTACAGCATTTATTTATTTGTAGTTTTAGTGACCTAAAGGGTTATATATCTGCTGCAGGTGAGTGAGCATGTGTTCTAATATCTGTAACTGACTGCCTCCATTTCAAACAAATGAATTATGTTTAAAAATCCGCTGAACATATGTTTTTAAATGAATCAAAACATACTAATAAATAACACCAAGGCTATTATTATTTTATTAAAATCAAAAATCCCAAAACATGCCAATATTATCTACATGACACAAGATGTCTCCTACTTCACCAAAAAGTTAATCATCGGACCATGATTGTGTTAGTCGTGATGTCCCCATGTTGTGCTCACAGACATGTCTAATTGTCAGATTTAAGTTAAGCACGAAGAAACGTTCACCCTTTAGCAGATGAATGTGAAAAATGACTCAAACTGTGCACAGTGAGGGAGCAAACATCCAAGTGACAACAGGCCAAAACACACTTTAATTTTGTGTATTGCTTGCACAGACATTATTCAGCAAAAAAAAAAACATACTATAGTTTACAAAAAATAAAATCATGTTTATGCCTGGGTTGTTTGTTTCCAAATGTACACATCTGCAGGCCTCAACACTGTAAACATCATCCTGCTGTTGGAGCTAGTGTTATTCTCTGCAGCAGGTTTAAAGGACCAATCAGTGAAGTGTAGCTCCACCACAGGCCTCACAATACTGACAGACTGAAGCATTTCACCATTGTTAAGAAATCTTTGTAAAGCCTAATATGAACACTCAAAAGTATCCATGAAAAATAAGTTCTTCTTGGGATGAGCCTCTGCCACCCTAAATGTCCGTAGATGGACTGACAGTGCTCCAGCTCAACATGAGCTAATGAATGCTGAAGGTGGAGAATGTTTCGCCAGCTGTGGAGCTGTGAACAGTGGAGTAAAACACCACTGCGTTTAGAGTTGTAATAGGATTTAAACACTATGAAAAGCTTACTTTCATCTGTAAGCAGCCTTGACCAAAAACTACTGCTCGGAACATTCCAGGCTGCAGGTTTCCAGGCTACACGCTCATCAACTTTTTATTAAATCAAACTCTTCTTGTCTTACTTTTTCTGCAAAATAAACATCTCACAAGCTGCAGGAAATATTCGTCAAAGAACCATAAAAGAGGAACAGAGTGTTAATCTGTCAGAGTATGAAATCCCTGCACAGCTGACCGGCCAGCAGCGACGAGAGGCAGAGAACAACAAGCCATTTGTTTTCTCAGAGGAATTACTCATAATTGTTCTCCATTGTGCCACTAAATTGACTTTGTTTAAGCCTCTTTTGCAAGTAATAGCCTGTCAACCTAATACTCTGGATTCTGGTCAGGGTGTAACACCCCCACAGACGCTTTTACATTAATTCACAAATTACAGGAGCACTTGACATAAAAGTTTAACTCATTATTCACCATACTTTATGTATATATTTATCATTTTTGTTGAATTCATAATGGCAAAACTTACGTGAACTGTTGATTTTATCATAATCTGGTGTTTGTGTGCACTGCTCACTGGTTTGAGACTGTTTATGGGCAAAAATGAAACAAGAATTAGGTTAAATATGAAAATAATCCAGCTGTAAATAATGAAACAAAAATATTTATTTATACACTTAAAGGAATTGGGTTAAACACAGAAGAAAACTCAAAGGATAGTATTTAAATAGATAAATAATAATAAAATAAATCAATAAAAATACATCTATATGACATAACTTAAAGGTACTAGATATATTTACTTTCCTTTTTCAAGTCAATTGGTTTCTTAGATTTAAAAAAAAGTAAAATCAACTTTACAGGGTAATAATAGCAAAGTTTAAGACACTGGTTTCCAAGTTTTTTGGTTTATGACCTCATACAACCCCCCAAAACTTGGTATTTCTCCATGATATTAGACGTTCACAATTAAATGAGTTACACTTAATCTTAAGTACAATTAATTTAGTATTTAACACTCAAAAAGCAGCTAATTTGCATCATCAAGACTGTGGTTTCATCAGGTTTAATTGTTATCCAAACAACCTCCAACAGATTCTGGTTCAAATATCCCCAAAACCTGATTGGTCCATGGAAGTGCATGACATCACTTTTTGAAGCCCTGCCCACTTTAAACAAGTGATGAAATGCACAGAGAATAAAGTAAATGTGTTAATCTCTCTTATAAAGTAACCAAAACTATTCTAACTTGTGAATAAAATGGTGTGTTTGTATGGAACCATCATCCACAGTGAGCAGCTGATGGAAGAAATATAGCTTTTAGGACCTTTTAAAATGAAGCAGTGTCCATTTGCACCCCGTCGTCTCAGGTTGTCTGTGGGCTGTTGTGGTTTTTCATTTTAATAATTTATAATTAATAGAGGCTTCATGATGTAGACCTATCCAATATCTAAACATAAAAGAGCAAAGATTAAAGGAAAGCCTGAGAGAACTAAATGGACCTCTGTACATATACCAGAAATACAACTTTTGTTCTTCTTTCCGATCTTAAAGTGACCCCCGCAGATTTATTTGATGACCCCCCTGTGGGGTCGCGACCCTCATGTTGAGAACCAGTGGTTTAAGATAATCCTGATGACTTTTCCTGCTCCTTTTTTTAGTTAGTATTTAGGAGTTGGTCAGAAGCGAGTCAAAAATGTTTGGTCTAGTTGTATATTTGGTGTTCGGTCAAGTTCGGTGCTTGATTCTGCAGATGTTTTACCGATGGTGTGCAGTTTTGGTGCCTTAGTGTTTTTGCCTTTGTCTTGCACTGTAATTTGACTGTGGTCTTTTCAGCGAAAGTATATCGTGTCATTACATACTTATTGGTCAGCGGTTGGTAGAGTCAAACAGAGACATGGCAGAGAGAGAAATCAAAGGAAACAATTACTTCAAATTACCTCACATCCTATTAATCTGGAACTATTTTGTGGGTTTTTAAAAAAAAAATGCACAGGGCCAAATTTTTACACTCGCATGCAGTCGAGGTGTCCGGGTATTTAAAAAAGATGCACAACGATGGGAAATTTAGCTTTCTGCTGTCCGCCCCCCCCCCCCAACAATAATTCAGGCAGACATGTTTTTGTGTCACTTTGAAGCAAGCTAGGAACGATCTCATGCCACAATAACCTAACACTTCCTGTCCTGTCTGGCCTCATTGTGAAGGGTTGCACAGAGGCATGTTCAGGATCTCCTAATTTAAGGTGGCACTGCTGCTTCACAAGGTGGATATGATGCAATGAAGAACTTAACCTCCACATTTCCTGCTGCATGAACACTCAGGATAACAACACTTTTCTACTTGTTGTCTAGAAATACAGTCAAAATTCTAATGTACTTGAGTTAAATAGAAATTCAGGCTCAGTGTGTGTATTTTTTACCTACTATGTTAAGGATTATTTTTATTGGATTGTTATAAGGAATTCAAAAGCGCAACAAGTCTTATTTCAATGGTTGTCAGTGGAAACAACACATAGAAACATACAAATTATTGCAGCAAACAAATTGCATGTAAACCTACCCGTGCCCCTTACAACTGCACGCCCATGGTACAGATTCCCTTCCTCAAATTGTCCTTAACTTTAGTTTTAAAAAATACTTTTGTTTTATTTTGTTTAATATTCAGGAGCAGGTTTGTTCCATAAGGAGATCCCAGTATAGAAAATTAGCTTCTTGCTGTTTCATCATTAACACAGGGAACACTGTGTGTGACATGATGCTGCTCTTGTGTTGCATTATGTTGGTTCCAACCATGTCAGTATAATAGTTCATATATGCGGGGCCTTTCTGTGAATTATATCAAACGTATAATTAAGTTTCAGTTAGAAGGAAGATCGAAGTGGATCCTTATTTTGGTAAAATGTGCTGAAAGTATGAAAAGTTAAAGCACGTATTATATATTTTATTTTTACTACGGATGCATTAATGTGAAAGTAGTGATTAATGTTGCAGCTGGTTGCAGTGCAGCTAATTTTACCATTTTACATATTATTGGCTTTAATAAAAAGGCATCATCATCTGCAAATTAGATTATAGCTGGAGTAAAAAGTACAGTATGTCCGTCTGACAAAGTTCAAAGTGTGGTGTAAAATACATGTACCTTGAAACAGCACATCACTGAAGGGCTTTCCTTTTCTTTACACCACTGATTACAATTGTTGGGTAGCACTTCATGTGTGCAGGGGTTGCA